CCCGGACTTCCCAAACCTAATCCCAGGATACTATTCAGCTACAAGTAAACTAATATTAATATCCCTAACTCCACAAAATATCAATACATAAGTAGGTGAAATATATAGGAAAAAAAACAAATTGTCTAAAAACCTAAATTGTATTCCACCATTCTATGCTTATTTTGAATATAGACAATCCATCTTCTCCATATTGATAAAAATTGTTCATTTGAATGGTCTTTCATTATTCTATTCTATATTTCCATTCCATTCTATTCTATTCTATTTTATATTTCCATTCTATTCTATATTTCTATTCTATTCTATATTCTATATTCTATATTCTATATTCTATTCCATTCCACTATTCTATTCTATTCTATTCTATTCTATTCTATTCTATTCTATTCTATTCTATTCTATTCTATTCTATTCTATTCTACTCTACTCTACTCTACTCTATTCTATATTTCTATTCTATATTCTATATTCTATATTCTATATTCTATTCCATTCCACTATTCTATTCTATTCTATTCTATTCTATTCTATTCTATTCTATTCTATTCTATTCTATTCTATTCTATTCTACTCTACTCTACTCTACTCTACTCTACTCTACTCTTCTATTCTATATTCTATATTCTATATTCTATATTCTATATTCTATATTCTATATTCTATTCTATTCTATTCTATTCATTATCTGCCACAGATCTGCCACAGATTCCCTCCCACAGACCGGTACGCTCCCACAGAGTGGGCCTCCTCAGGGTGCCGTCGGCCAAGCAGTGTCGGCGGGCGACCCCCAGGGGGAGGGCCTTCTCTGTGGGTGCCCTCACCCTCTGGAACGAACTACCCCCCGAGATCCGGATGATTCCGGATCTCCTTACTTTCCGCTGCGCCCTCAAGACATGGCTTTTCCAGCAAGCGGGCCTGACCTAGGGAGGATTTTAGTTAGGGACGATTTTTAATATAATTTTAATTACGACACAGCTACTAATATTTGGCTTTTAATTTGGTCTTAGAGGGGTTTTTATTTTGGTATTTATTTTATTGTTACTTGTTTTTAATATGCTGTGCACCGCCCTGAGTCCTTCNTTAGAGTGACTAAGAGTTCCTTGAGCGAATGAGTTGAGTAACTTCTGGGAACAGCGCGATTCGGCCGCCTCTCTTAAGAAATCCCAAAGCTTGCAACGATTCCTGGAATCGCAACGGCCAATTCAGTTCGGCTTTTGTTGACTTCACGGGGACTTATGGCCCCCGTTGAGCCCCCAACTTTCTGTTGCTGAGACGTTTGTTGAGGGAGTCTTGCCCCCATTTTAGGACCTTTCTCGCCGGAGTTCTTAAGGGAGGTTCTTAAGTTGGTAAGTCAGTAAACCCGGTTGTTAAGTGAATCTGGCTTCCCCCATTGATTTTGCTTCTCAGGAGGTCGCAAAAGGGGGATAACGTGACCCCCGGGGGGGACGCTGCGACCGTCGTAAATCTGAGTCAGTTGTCAAGCACCCAAATATAAATCACATGACCATGGGGATGCTGCAATGGTCCTAAGTGTGAAAAATGGTCATATGTCATTTGGACAGCCATTTGTCTGAAATGGTACAGGCTTTCCTGCCTAAGCAGGGGGTTGGACTAGATGACCTCCAAGCTGTCTTCCAACTCTGTTATTCTATTCTATTCTATTCTATTCTATTCTATTCTATTCTATTCTATTCTATTCTATTCTATTCTCCTTATTCCATTCCATTCCATTCCATTCCATTCCATTCTATTCTATATAATAATAATAGTAAAGTTGGAAGGGACCTTGGAGGTCATCTAGTCCAACTCCCTGCTTAGGCAGGAAACCCTATACCATGTCGGACAAATGGCTGTCCAGTCTCTTCTTAAAGACTTCCAGTGTTGGAGCATTCACGGCTTCTGGAGGCAAGGAGTTCCACTGGTTAATTGTTCCAACTGTCAGGAAGTTTCTCCTTAGTTCTAGGTTGCTTCTCTCCTTGATCAGTTTCTATCCATTGCTTCTCGTCCTGCCTTCAGGTGCTTTGGAGAATAGCTTGACTCCCTCTTCTTTGGGGCAGCCCCTGAGATACTGGAGCACTGCTATCATGTCCCCCGTTGTCCTTCTCTTCGTTAAACTAGACATACCCAATTCCAGCAACTGTTCCTTATGCGTTTTAGCCTCCAGTCCCCTATTATCTTTGTTGCTCTTCTCTGCACTCTTTCTAGAGTCTCAACATATTCTATTCTATTCTATTCTATTCTATTCTATTCTATTCTATTCCATATTTTCTATTCTCTTCTATTTCTATTTCTATTTCTAGTCTAGTCTAGTCTAGTCTAGTCTAGTCTAGTCTAGTCTAGTCTAGTCTAGTCTAGTCTAGTCTAGTCTATTATTCTATTCTTATTCTTATTCTTTCCTATTCTAAATTCTACAGAACTACCTGTATATTGCATTTGGAGGTACTGATCTAGCCCCCATCTACCACTGTGGTCCTGAGAATTCTGTTTGCATCATGAGCTGAAACAAAAGTTAAAAGGATGTCAGTTCTGCAAATCTTGGGCAAGGGTTTCTGAGTTCCGAAAACCTTTGGGCCTGGGGCATGGGGGAAGATTATATACATCTAGAAGACCTGTGAACCCAAAACAGATTCCTTGCAGGATTTTTTTCTTTTTTCTTTTACCTTGCACTCAAACTCCATATTTTGACTTAAGTGAATTAATTCTTCGGTGCTCTTCATACGCTGGACGTTTGCATTGCAGTCTTTGATGAGCTGTAGAGAGGAAAATGCCATCAGATTAGAAAAAAATACAAGGGGGAAAAATTAGTTGAAAAATCACCAATTTTTACAATGAAAGAATGGATAGATTTTGACGGTTGGTTGAAAAGAGGTTGCATCTTCCTTTAGCAGGTAGAGGGAAATTATGTATTGTTATTCTCCTTCTCCTGCTTGAGCAGGGGGCTGGACTAGAAGACCTCCAAGGTCCCTTCCAGCTCCTATTCTATTCTATTCTATTCTATTCTATTCTATTCTATTCTATTCTATTCTATTCTATTCTATTCTATTCTGTTCTGTTCTGTTCTGTTCTGTTCTGTTCTATTTTCTATTCTATTCTATTCTATTTTTCCATTCTATTCTATATTTCCATTCTATTCTATATTTCTTTTTTTTTTTTTTTTAAAATTTTTATTGTTTTCATCATAAGAAA